TCCCAAAATGTTATATTTTATATCAGAACATTTTATGTATCAAGTGAAATATTATACCATCCCAAAATGTTATATTTTATATCAGCACATTTTATGGATCAAGTGAAATGTTATATCCACGACAAGTTTCATTTATTATTTTTATTTAACAAATTATCGACAACTAAGCCGTTTTATGACTGAAATCTAAGCCTAGCAATAATTTATTCAGACAAACCATCCCGAACATGTGTGCATTACTTATACCACGTAATGTTCATCGCCAGTGTTTAGTTTCAGTGTGTTTTTATCATTATTTACAATTGTTACCTGATGAATTGATTACTGAATAATTTACTGATTTAGTTTGATGTCAGTATATACATATATAAAATGATAACACAAATCTCTCCGTAAATACCCGATAGGTATATCGAACGTCTCCGATGTATTAAATATATATAACAAGGGATAAGCAACAAAAATATACCTACTTAATGAGTAATTATCAAACATTTTATTTTTAGTATATTTATTAGTAAGAGTAAAAGGCTCATCACAATAACTGCTAAACAAACCAAACGCAAATCGTCTATAACACCCAATCAGAGGACGAAAATAAAAGGGAACATCGTCATATTAGTGTTCATCACATGTATGCCTGCTACAAATGGGTGGCTACAATCTAAGCTTCACAGTCGACAAACTGAGCATCAGAAAAAAAATCATGCGTCATTTGAAATATAAGCTATAGTCGACATCGATAGAAAAACTTTAAACTACAAAAAAACTCTTAGATTACAACGCCAAAATAGGTGTGACGCACCATGCAGCGTTTGCTGTATTTCGATTCGCCGATTTGAGTTTGACACCGTGACGCTTCAACAGATTAACCAATATTCTGGTTATGTGTGTGTATAAATGTATACATGTTTGTTTTTAAATATACATTGACAGAATTTGAATATTGTAATTCGTATATATACGACGACAAATACAACGCAAGCAAGTGGATCGCCTAAACATACTTCTTATTTTAAATTAAGAGCTCGTCCAGTGTTTTTTGATATTTAACTGCGAACTATCCAATATTAAATTCTCCTAAACAGATTGCGTATGAACACAAATCTAATATAATCCTAATTACACTCTTTGGAGTTCAGAATTTAATCTCGTGATTGATAAATTGTACAATATTACCATATTTGGCGAATCAAGTGAAACACTATGGCCGCTTAGCCAGGTGACATACACCGCAATTACTAAACACGCATGCATCACATGTGGGCTTACAGAATCGTGTCACAGCTTCATGAGATAAAATATGAAAACTGAATACTTTTTAAATCAACAAGAGCGGGCATTTTACATTGTGGATATATTTTTGAATGGATCAATGAATCGATTAAACCATATAGTTAGATTGGGAGAATGATAATATCAGTGCTTTCGTGACTTCCAAATTACATAAGTCAAACATAATTAAAATTTGAACGATTTGGGTTTGATCATCGACGTGGATCCGCCCGAAATGTTGCCGCGCGTCGCCAATAGTTAACCCACCTCTACACCATAATGGTCACTGACATGCTCACACGATATAGCGCGACCACGACTATCTTGATTAACACTCCCAATGTAACGCCGTGAATATCCGAGCCTCCACGTACCACATAAGTTAGGAGATATAACTTACCGGAAATATTTGTGCTCTGTTCCTTCTCGTTGTCGAACCGATGAGTGCAGCAATACTGGTATGGAAACGTCAGTTGATGACACGAATGTTTTGAATACCAATTGATTTAATTTGCATAATATCAACGTCATCACGGCTGTGGGCCACATGAAGAGAATTCAGTGATGCATATTTATAACGCGCACGTACGGTTTCGTGTCAGCTGTACGAGACTTATTTGCACCACGCAAATCTATTCATGAAGCAACAGGTAAAGAACAATAATGGAAACAAATCACGAATCTAATTAGAGGTTATAAACGGCAAGCGTCGATATTCGGTAGCAAATATAAGACCAAATAAATTTACATATTTGGCGGGAAATATACAAAGATCTCGTAAGAGATGTTTTATTCTCGCTACTAAATATCCAACTTTATTTTTGCATACTCGCTCTTGCCTTAAGTGTAGCGCTATCACATGGGACGCTAAAGAGCTACGGGCTATGACAATCACCAAATAGTGTTATCATTATAGAAACATAATATTCAAATTGGAGATATATTACTTTAATTTGAAATATATTAAGATATATAAAGATGTTGTTGTTCACATTAAAAATCATCAATGTCATTACTCCACAGCATATGACGATCTGGTGGAATGTCCCGGATCGATATCTTCGCTCAGCCGGAAGGTTAGGATTACCCCCCCCCCCTCTACAGTCGAAAGCATTATTGTGAAAACAATTACTGCTTGATATTCTGGAAATATATTTTAAACATATGGTTTTACTAATTTTAAACGTTTTATAACAGCATTTTAACAGTTTATGTAAAATGCGCTGGTATGTACGTATACATCGTTTTGTAAAGAAGTATTTAAAAATATTATTATTAGGATTCCTCAGATTATGACAGGACTATTGACAGTCGAAGAGATTTATTTAACCACTAACACAATCATGGCAAATGCAAATTTATTTATATTCGGAATTCGAGTGGGAAACGTATCTATAACACAATTTTCTTTGTTCAATTACGACG